TTAATTCCTCTAAACTCAATTGATTGTTTTTAATTGTTGTTTTTCAGTTTAAAAACGATAGCACCACCAATTAATTGTGCACATAAAAGTTTCCGCAAAATTGTTCCACCATCGTTTTAATTCACTTCGTACGTTCGGTTACATTTTACTCACATCGTCAATTGTGCGATGAGCGTGGCAGCGGCGTGCACACGGGTTTATGGATCGTTGCGAATAATATGTGTGTGTGCGGATGTGCGTGCATGGCAATGGCTTTGCCGCCACCACGTTTGAAGTAGAAATGTGATTTTGTGCTTGAGCAATCGCAAGTGTTGATTGATACTTGGCGCTCCGATAAATGCCTGGCAGCGGCAAAGTTTTTCACCGGATTTGCTAATGCCGTACATATTTACTTTGGAATAAAAGAAAAAAAGCAGCGGGAAGAACAAAGTGATAAATATGCGAACAAAAACGTGAGAATGAGTGAGGAGCAGTGACATGAAGAGTGAAGAAATGAGTGATATAATGGGATTGGATGTGTTTTCAGGTAACGTTCGGAGGGAAAAAGCAAATTGTAATTATAATAACAATTAGTATGGCAAAAGCTTCGAATTAAGCAGCTGCCAACATATATATAAAATGGGTGGAAAACACACACACACATTTTGAGCGCCAAAGAAGTGAGTAAGTGAACTAATGGGCGGCGAGAGAGGGGAAATGAAAATGAGCATATGCGTTTTAGAAAGTTCGAAAGTATGTAAAACGCCCGGGTCCCATATCTTATTAATGACATTTTCCGAAACTTATCCAAATTTTACACTTCCGCAACACAACCATTTGGCTACATAAATATTTGATAAACGACATACATCTAATGGAAATTGAAAGAGTTTGCCTAAATATTAATGAAGCAAAGAAAATTGCATGATTAAATTATGGTACAACTAGCGCTTTAAGTACTTTGTCGAATTCTTGACGATGACGATGACGACGACGACGACGAGGACAACACAACGCCACATCGTCAACAAAACCAACAAACGTCTTTTTCCGTTGACTCTTCTGACATGGAAGATGGAACAGAAAAGTGTCATCGATTTCGACGAACGTGGGTAGGTAGTCGTATATTTGGCTGTAAATTTAGTGTGTTGGTCCAATCATTCATTTTGGTTTTAGTTGACACTCGCTGCTACTACACACCATAGTTGCGTTCAGTGTCGCATCATTGAACATTGACCATGAGCCAAACAGCCCCCCAATTCCGATCGATCGACAGAGAGGGAGAGAGAGAGAGGGAGAAAAAAAAGAGTGAAGGCGAACCGAAACAAAATGAAAACAGAAGAAGAAAAAACGTTGACAGCACGAGAAATATGTTCGAATTGAACAATGTGCTATCGATTACCGTTCGGCATTGCAAAGGAATTCAAAATCGAAAACGAACAACGGCACACTTTTGATTCGAAAAATTGAAAACAAGAGAGAGAGAGTGATGGACGAAATACACCGACAGCAGAAAAAAAGCGCACACGCCGAAGAAAAATGTGATATTTGAAACATGTGTTCGTTACACGCAATCATTATTTTGCATAGTTTTTCAAAGTGACTGCATTTCCGTAACTTAACGAACTGACCATGCAAAAATTGTTCCCGTTCATGCTAACATGCACTGGATATGGAATCGTCGTCGTCGTCGTCTTCGTCTTCGTCTTCGTCGTCCACTTTAAATATTCATTGCATTTCGCCATGAATTTGTTTTCCTTATACATTCGTTTCGTTGTAGTTTTCGTCGTTATGTTATGTGTGTTTTTTTTATTCTTCTCCTCCTTCTTCTTCTTGCTCATTTCTCTCTTTCTTTGAATGGTTTTGTTCCGTTTTAGCTCCGGTGTGTGTGTATGCATACCATTGCGTTGTTCGTTAGTCGATTTGCTTCTTCATCTGTCCACATCGTTCTTGGTTTATCCTCTCGGAAAAACGTATTCAGTGTGCCGGTGCTGCCATTGCCGTCAATAATGCTAAAACGCAATGAAACGTGAAAAAAGATGGAACTCGGCAGTGCATTGTCATCGCATTATGGATTTGTCAACAACAATACAAAAATTGAAGAACAGAAGAAGAGAAAAATAAAATGACAACGACGAAGAACAAAAGAAAAGAGAAAAAATTATAGCAAAGTCTTTATTTTTCTTCAGAATTTTTTATTATTTATTTTGTCCGTTGTCATCAGTGACGGTGGCTTAAGTGGGTGGGAGGACGGACGAGGTATTCATGCAACAACCTCAAGAGGTATTGATATTAAATTGAATCATCTTCGAATGTTGAATTGTACACAAACTCACTGCCTGCACAAGAAAAAGGACGCAAACACACTCATACAATTTTCCTTGAATATATATCTATCTTATTTTTTCCTTCTCTTCATTCTCTGTGTCTTGGTATCTCTGTTTTCTCCGTTGGTTTTGCAATCACAAAATGTCAACGACGTTGACGTTATTTGAATTATCCATCGACAATGCAATTAAGTATTTATGTTATTCGTTCGAATTGTCACACAGAGTCAATGCAAACGTGCTTCTGCTGCTGTTGCTTCTCCAATACATGTAATAGAATTCTCATTACAGGTGCCAATTTCTTCGTGCTCCATACACTCACTCACTCGCTAGCTCTCTCTCACTCTCTCTCTCTCTCTCTCTCTCTCTCTCTCTCTCTCTCTCTCTCTTGCTGTGTGTATGGTAAGATCGCGCGAGCACGATATTCAGTTGGTTTTCACGTTTATATAAAAACGTGTGCAAACGTTGGCAGCAATGCAATCGATGTAGAAGAAAATGAAACAATTTTGCGAGTATCTTGATGTTAGTCAAAAATTATGAATGACACGAACACTATACATTGCCTCTCATTCGCTCTTTTTTCTTTTTTTTTAACTAGTAATTTCGCTCGTTCCGTTCTCTCGCTCGCTCATTCGCTCTAAATCAATTCCGCGTATATATGATATCAGTTATAAAAAATTGTTTGTCTTTCTCTCGCACGCTCGCTCGCTCTCGTTCAATAAAGATAGATTTTTCATGAAAAATGCGAGCACATTTTTCTCTCTCATGCAATGTGAAAATTGAAACGAACGAATTATTATGAAACGAAGAACGAAATCCTCTTAAATGCATTCATTTCTCTGGCGCGTACACATAAACACACACACACACACCGGTTTTATGTATCCGAAATACACAAGAAAATATAGCGAACGAACGATTTTCGTATCGAAACATACAAAAATGCTGGATAAACACTTTGATGTATGACGAGAAATAAATTCGTTCTTTTTTTGTCTCAGTTGCTGTACAAACGAGTGAGAATGAGCGATGGTGTGAGTGAGTAAATGAGAACAAGAACAAGAACAAGAGAGAGAGAGAGAGAGCGGGAGATAGTGAAACCGTCACAGAGAAGCAAGAATGAAGAACACAACGCATACTGAGATTAGGATGCGAAAGTGAGCAGTGAGTTTCATTTTTACAGAAATTGTATTAAGTTGTTGCCATCATCGGCACCATCATCAGCTTTCTCTCGTCTTTTAATGCTGCCAAACGAGTAGAATTTCCAGAAATGTCCTCCACACTCTCTCGATCTCACACACACACACACAAATAAATTGGCAAAAATGTATAACGATGATGCTGACGATGATGGCGACGGAAGAGTTGACCTGCCCGTGTATCTTTCACCTGTTTAAGGAGCTCGTTCCAGTGTTTTAATTAATTCGAAATTGTATACCGATGCTCATGAAATATTATACCGTCATTATTCGAACATTACAACACTTTGAGTCCTGTAATCTGTGCATCGGTGCAATGTATACACAAACGCCCACTCTGTAAATGAACTCTGTCTCTCTTGCATCCTGCCCCTCTCTCTTTCTTCATACCTTGCTCTCGCTTCTGTTTGTTCGCTCGTCCTACGTTCTTACTTTGGCGTCAAATTGCATTGCAAACGCACTTAATCGAATGAACGAGAACGAAATCTACACAAAAACAGTGTTAAGTGCTAAAAATGTCGACCAGAACCAAACGACACGGATCCAAACGACAAACACTACCAATAACAAAAAAAAAATAAACGGCAACAGCAGCCACAGTCGCAGTTACCATCAACCGTATTGCATCAGAGCTCAGAAAAAATGGCGAAATTGCAACGAGCAAAAGTGCCGGTGATTTCAATGTTGGATCCGTGCGAATGTGTACCAAGAAACAAGCAAATGGCGCCTCAAAAACAACAATTTATTTCGTTGCACATTCGCATTCCAGCGCCCTCAGCTTCAATAGAGAAAAGTCAACCCAACGTGAAAATCTTCAAAATGAAATGCGGAATTTAATTAAAATAAGAATCAGAACAAACGACAAACGAACCATGGTTATTATTTTTATTTTCGTGTGCGACAGAAGAAAAAATCATAACAGTCGAAACGAAGCGAGAAAAAAAAATAAAATCGACGAAAATTTGTTCCGTGATTTAACCAGCAGGAATTTAATTTTGCCGTTGTATATTGTTGTTGTTGTTGTTTTTTTCTCTCCGGTTTGTTGCTTGTTATGACGAAAGAGCAAATAAATTGTTTGTTTGTTGATAATGCATCAGGTTTCTTCATGCTCATACACACAGTTCACAGAATTTAGCGATCGCTTCAAAAATTTTCAATTTATGAAATCTAATAAATCGAAATCCAAACGATGACTCACTCACAAAAGTGTTCCACCCGTTTAAGCGGAATAGATGAAAGAGAAACAGAGATAAAAAGAAAGAGAGAGAGAGAAAGAGAGCGAAAAAATAAATAAATTGCCAATGCTAAAATATATGTGTCGTTTTTGCCAGCGACACATAGAGATATTTTGACAAAATTGCTGTGAGCACTTTGTATATCTGTGTCATCGTTTTTCATTTGCTGTTGCTGCTGTTGTTGTTGTTGTCGACGTCGTTGTTATTGCAATACCGCAACGGTGAATTTCACACAAAGTCTCGACACTGGACCCTGTTCACAGATGCGCATATACACAAGCACCACGCGCCACCGTATACTCAATCGCACACTGGAATATTCACCGACTTGATCAGTTCGATTTTTCATTTGTGTGTACGTGTCTGTTGCTGTTGCTGTGTGTGTTTGTCGACTATTGCGTTTTGACATATCACTTGACCGGGGATAAATGACACATTTTGCGCCTAATAAGTCACATCGTGCTTTAGTAAATACACACACCGCACCATATACAGCCGAAATGTCAGCCAAATCGAAATCGTGCTAATTGTCACATCGACTAGCATTTTCATTTTTCTCGGTGGTTTTTTTGTTGCTCATCGTTGTTTCATTACGAAATTTTCGTGTGCTCTAACTCGTGTGAATAACAAAAAACATAGAAAAATCGAAAAGAGTGAAGAGATAAAAAAAAGAGTCGAAATCAGATCCTTCGACTAATGTAATATCTGTGCATTTAATTAAATTGCTGACGACTCGTAGCGTTTGTGCTTCCGAAGAAAAAAAGACAAGTTTTTTTTGCACATTGTTTGTCGTTTCTCTCTTGCTCTGGCACCCGTTGTTTTGTTTTTTTTTTTCTTTTCTGCCGTTCCTGTTGACATTTCTGTTATTGTTTATTTGTTATTATGACTACAACAAAAGTCGATTCCATTTTCGGATCGAATGACATTGGCGAATATTTGCGGGCCAAATTCGTGGACGAGTTTTTTTTCTCGCTCGATGCATGGCCAAATTCGACCGAATTGAACAGCAACGGCACGAACGAAGCCAGGAACGACGCGGGTGATGTCGACAACAACAACAACAGCACCAACATCGATGGGAATCGTACACACCACACGACCAACAACGGCCAAACGGTGGATGAATGTGCAACGGAAATACGGAAATTGGCAAATTGTAATTTTTATTCATCAACATTTAACAAATGGTTCGACGCATTTTTTTTTCTATTTCGTTCATTATATTCGTATATACTTTGCAGCGGATCTTTGTTTGCCACGGAATGTAGCGGTGGCGGCGATTAAGCAGCACGACAAATTCACTGCCAACAAGCAGCAGCAGCAACAGCACAAGGGACAAAAGAAATGGTCATCAAAATTACCAACAGCAAAACTAGTGAGTATTTTTACTTCGGTTTTTTTTCCCCGTATTTAACTTTTTCCACCCGTTTTGTGATTATTATTTTTCTGCCTATGTCCACTCATCCGGTTATATTTCTGTTTGTTTTCGATTTTGCTGCTTGTAGTTTTGTGTATTTTGCAAGAACAACGGCGAACAGGAGCATGTGTATACATCGCATAAAGTGAAGGATAATCGAAATCGGGTGTGTTGCCCTCGGTTGCGTGAATACAAATGCCGAATTTGCGGTGCATCCGGTGATTCTGCACACACAATTCGATATTGCCCAGCACGAGAGACCATTCTACAATCGGCCTATGAAATGTTGTCCATCAACGAAGCATCATCATTGCAGGCAGCAATTCGCAACAAACCATCGATCATTCAACTCAATTAATTATTATTTTATCATGATGGATTTTCCTCTCTTTTTTTCTTACATACGTAATTCATTTGAATTTCGTTCAAATATTTTTTTTCCTCGTCTTTTTGTACAATTCAATTGCATTTTGTACTTTGACTCAATTTTCATTAGGAAAATTGAAACATTTGAAAATTGTTGACAATGAATCCCCCTGAATGTCACTAATAAAACCGAAAAATTGAATTGCATGTTAAATTGGTTGGTCGTTTTCATTTCATGGATTCTATAGAATTGTGCATGTAAGTGAGTATATAAACACTATTCTAGGTTTCTGACTAACTCTATGTGTGAGTGTGTCCGAAAATAGCTCAATCGATGCATCCAAATATCGGAATGGATTCAATTGCATCGACAAAAACGGAAGATACAAACGAAATATCGAGGCATGTTATTTTTTTTTGTCTGTCCGGTGTAAATGCTTTGACAAAAACGTGACACATACACATAAACTGGTACACACACAGTCGAAAAAGCATTTCAATTGAATAACAGATGTGTTTATTGGTGCTGTGGTTTTTCGGACTGCATTTCACAGACGAGATATGGTATAATGGAAGAAAATGACCAGACCCATTGTCGGGCGTGTATGTGCCATCATTGTCATAATTACATAGATTAGCGCTAACGCATCAACAGTGTGTCCCTTTTGTGACCAACAAAATGAAAAAAAAAAGAAAAAGAATAACAGCAACAACAAAAATACATGCATATGCTCACCGAGTTATACAAACACAGATATCCCATGTTGATAATTGGTTAATAAATATTTCGGAATCATATGGAAAATTTAAATGAACGATTAATGGCCATTCGTATCGTCATGCAATGCTGCATTCATATTACAATATGGGCCAATGTGGATGGTGTATGTGTGTGTGCGTATGTTTTACACTCATTGGCACATTGTTAAGTCTGAGTGAGCGAGCTATAGAGAGAGTGCGAGAACAAGGACAAAGTATTTTCTGTGCTGGTTTGTATTCTCGGCTTTGTCGATTGAACGCGACACGGACTGCTGCTAAGACTGCAATAATCATAATTTTCCGTGTGCCCCTTTGTGGCGTACCTTGGGTACGTTCCATTGCTGCTATTTCTTCTGTTGCTGCCCGGAGGCGATGGCATCGTGTGTCAAAACCAACTTTCTTGTGCTGAATTAAAAAGAAAATCGATTTGAAAATTCTCCAGTCGATAATCGTGAGCACATCAATAAATCTGCATTTTACGCTCCAGAATCAAACCGATCTCTGATTATTTCGCGTTCTTTGCTCTCTTTTCATTCTTTCCACATGCATACACAAACATACACACTTTATGTCACTGTATATGGCATGTGAGACGAATAGAAAAAAAAATGAACGGAGAGTTAAGTCATATCAATCGCAGAAATACAGTCCCACCGAACGAATTTTGCAAAACAAAATATGGTGTCTCTGAAGAGATTGAAATGATTTTTTTCTCTTCGTCGGTTCATACACACACACACATATATATATATATATATATATATTCAGGCAAAAATCCATTTGGCAAACGTTTTTAGCGCGTCAAGCACAAACATCATCGACAACCGCCAATTTTATACACGGACCAGAAGCAGAATAAAAAAGACCAGCACAGGATGCATCTTATTAGAGGTGGCGGTGCTCATCAGCATTTTAAAGTGAATATTAAAAAAACGAAGCAATTTCGGGAATATATCTGCCATTTGGAATTTCTAACTTCTAATCTGGAAGCTCATTTGCCCTACCATTCATCGCTGCGGAAAATGTGATTAGAATTTTTAATTTGCTGCTGCTGGCTGCCGCTGTATATGTGTGCAAAATGCTGAGTGAATGAATGAATGGGAAAAAGAATGAAAAACAAAAATCCGTTTCCAAACGAAAAATGAAGGGTCATATGGATGCGAACCGAACAAAGTGATTCATTTTTCTTCTCTTCTTTCTTTCTCGCATCTTTTTCGTTTTTTTCTTCTTATACGTTGCTCACACTCTCACTCTTTATCTATCTCTCTCTCTCTCTCTCTCTCTCTCTCTCTCTCTCTTTGTGTGCGGCACTGTTCGGGAGAAGTTCGCTTAAATTTGGTGCCATCGAAGATGTTTCCGTATTTTGGGCATGCTTTCATTTGAAACACTGAATACTGATTTTTGGTATTTATACTAAGCACCGAACGGAATTTTAAAAGCGACTTTTGCATCATCTGCCCTCATAGAAATGAACGACAGAGAGGGATGCGAGAAAATGAGAGAGGGTGAGAGAAAGAGACATTAAACCATTTCAAATGGACAACAACGATACACGGACAATTCCATATACAGTAGACGCCTGATAATTAGATACCTTTTCATAATTCTTTTTACAAGTTTGATACTTTTTTCTATCGTACGCACATACACACCCATTCATCGTGATTTGGCAAGAGTGATTTTCAATCAATTCACAGCTGAAGCAAAACATCAAGCTTTGATGAGGGTTCATTAAATGAATCAAAATGATGAAGCAAACCAACGAGAAAAAAAACAACAAATCCAATATTCACGAATAAAATTTTTGTCAGGTTTTGAAACAAAACACACAAAAAAACACAGCAAAATGGAAAAGGAGAGAAAGAAAAATACATGCACACAGCGCAATGGGAATGAAAATCAAACGATTGCCAAACATTAAAAATAGATTTCTCAATAAGGAATTCACGATGGCGAAAACGTGTTTGAATCGTAAATTTTTTGTGACATGGCCCAAATGTTTGCTTTCCAATCCAATGGCATAACATCAGCAGCAATCGCAACAGCAATCAAGTGAATTCTTTTTGAGAGTACACAACATTTCCTCACTTTAAAATCGATCGTTTCGAATTTAAAGACAAGTCAAACAACGACCGAAACAGAAAAACAAAATACGGTCGTTGCCTTAATTTTCTTAATTTGAAATTTATGCGGCATGCAATCTTCGAGATGCTGCTGTAATAGACGACAACTGGATATATATTAAAAATAAAAGAAAATAAGAGAAGAAGAAGAAAAAAGAACAGCTAGTAGAGGAAAGACAGAAAAAAAGGCAAGCGAAAAAAATTCAGTTAAATGTTAATTACGATGTGCGTTTATTAAAGTTAATATAATGGCATTGTCATGACGGTTTCATGATCATGAACGAAAATCCATTTGAAAATAACGAGCGAAACGAAATGCAATGGCATTATTTGCGGCTCTTTGCCGTTGGAAATTTAATGAACTTATGACTTGTAATTTATAAACATGTATACAAAATGGGAGTTAGAGATCGAGCGAGCGGGAGAGAGGGAGTGAGGTCCTAAGAAGTGATCGGGAGAGTACGAGTGAATGGAACATGGACAACCGCAAAGAGCAAACGGAACAGAAACAAGTAAAGAACCCAAACGACCAATGAATGAAAGAAAGAAATGGAAGAAAATGAAGACAAAAAAAAATTATATGTGAACATTTAGATTCCTTCAACAGAGAAAAAAAAACGTCGTAAAGTTGATGCTGTAAATTAGTGATAAATTACCCGTATAATGATAGCATCACCATTAATCAATAGACAGAGTATAAACATAAATGCATGCATACGAGAGCGAGAGTGAGCTGAGGCGAAGGAGTGAGTGAACTGGTGGTGTTAGCGATATGCCAAGCGCTACTATACGTATGCATACCGATTGTGATGTGATGGTTGTTTCGGTCTTTGCCACGGTCGAATGGGACATTTCGAGATGAGAACATTTTCGCATACACCAAATGAAATAAACAGAGAGAAAAAACAAACAAACACGAAACAAAAGACAATAATGTGCATGGAAAACTAAAAGCAACAATCGAGAAAAAAAAATGTGGTAACGAGACGATATTCACATCGTCTATTTTGGAAAGGGCCAAATGTATTCAATTTTTGGTTTTTCAAGCAACAAAACAGCACACACACACACACAAATACACATAAAGAAAAATGAAAACGAGCTCAGCCGAGAGATGCGAATAAGTGGAAAAAAGAGCAGTCAAACAAAAATGAAGAAGAAGAAGAAGAAAAAAAAGTCGAACAAAAATGTGTATATATTTCGGAGAAGTAAAAAGCATCTCCAGAGAGATCCAACCCGAAAAACAAGTAAAATCCACATGAAGTCGTACAACTTATGCACACACACACAGTGCACGGAGTGGATTATCTGGCCTGGTATTTCGGCTTTGGCTTTGGCTTTGGCTTAGCTCCACCTAACCAACATTTCCAATAAAACACCGGAACTAGAAAATGCGCCAAAGCAATAGCAACAGCAATAGCAGCGGCAGCAGCAGCCACATCACAACCGTTTGGCAGATCAAGAGTCACTGTCTGAATGAAAGGAGATAAAAACTTACGCTGATGATGCGAGAATAAGAGTGAGCGCAGCCGAGCAGCGAGTAGCTAGCTCCATCGGCAAAAGGTTATTCTGCAAGATGGCGATTGAGACGAAAAATGAGAATGAAAATGAAAAACACCATTTGAATTGCATTCGCATTTGAATATCATTAATAAAGAGTGAATGTTTGCACGGGCGCTGCTGCTGCTGCTGTTGCTGCTTCTATGCAAAATTGGTGTATGTAAAATGTAATAGGTTGCATGTAATGTGTATAATTCACATCACGCTATTATAGCGTCGTGCATACCTGCATATAGATATTGGAACTAATATTGCGTATCCGTACAGTTTTCGGTTATTTGTGTAATGCAATTTGTAAATTTTGTGTTGTGTTTTCGGCGATGAATAATGCGAGAGCATGAGAAAGAGAGACTAACAACGATTCGATTGGCCAAGTTGCACGTTCGTTGTAACCGACCGGCGACGCTGAATACTAGTGAGTGTCATCGTATTTGGCAGTTCAACATTTGATGGTGGCTCAGTCTCTGTGTTTTTATTGTGTATGGTACGGTGTGCCGTCGTTGTGAGCGATTGCAATCAAAACCATAAGACCGCGCTCATTTGTGCACCACTTGCAGCAAATAAACATACACCGACACACATACATTCCATACCTAATTTGAACATGAGCCGTTTTTGAATTGATACATCTTTTCATTTTACATGATTTATTCAAATAATTTTTGCGATTCATATTTCATGAGTGCAAATGCTTTAGTGCCGATGAGATTGGGAGGAAGTGAGCAAGAGCGACAGAGGTAGAGCGAGAATCTAGAAATGCATTCGAAATATT